CGGTTGCACTTTAAAACAAAAGCATTTTTAACCAGAGAGCAATCAATTTCATTCTTGTGTAAATCTATTGCACTAAAAAGCAGAAGCAAAACAGTTGAAAATGCGAGTTATGCAATCGATTGCACCAACATGTAAATCGATTGCATAGAAGTAAAAATGGATTTTTTGCTTAGAAAACTTGAGAAAAAGTTTGGACAAGTTTTAAACACTTCTTTTGATCATTGAGCATCTAAGACTTAAGTTTATAGCAAGATTTATTATTATACCTTATGAAATTTGCCAAGACCTTGAATCAAAGAATTTTATCCATTGATGCTTTAGCTTGTTCATTATCTTTGCCTTCTTACCATTATGGTTTGTCTTCATCAAAATAAAGTTTATTGAGAAGCTTGATATTACATATATATCCGAGTACGTGAAATAATTACTGCCAGGACTCGGTCAAACGGGGCAGAGTACCCGCAACTAGTCGTTGGTCCTGAGGAAGAGGTAGGTTACGGGCAATGATCTGGTCGGTTCCTGGTTGTCTGGCCGACTTGATATCGGGCAGATAAATAAGTGTTTGTCAGACGCCGCCGATCTCACTGGTCTATGAAGATAGTTGATCGGTGGTCCCTGACTGAGGGCGAGGGTCTTCGGGTCGTGGTCGTATGGGACATGCTGAAGGTGGAGTATGGACTGGGCCTACTCTAGCCGTTGGGCCATCCAGAACAATTTCATTACAGAAAACAATGGTTAGAAGAAACATACTAGCATTATTCAACTGACACACTACTCTACTGACTCGACAACTTGGCCGGACGAACCGACCTGCTGTGATACCAATTATAACACCCCACTTTCCCTTTTTCAATTAAATAGATAAATGACTAGATTTTTAAATAAGATAGTTTTATAGAAAAATTATAGTACTCATTAGTGGGATGTCACATCCTCAAATAAATAAGATCATAGAAGTATTATTTCGCTTCATAGCATAATATCTCAATCGATTGGATTAAAACAACGGAAAATATTTTCAAATAATTCACATCACGCCTTCAAGGCTCTGAATCAAATAAAACTCCCACTCCTTGGAAGTCCAACATAATTTTGAAAATAAAAACACATAACAACGATTCAAAAGAAACAGCATAGAACTAAATTCTCATCCCGATGTTACGTATCAGAGAGAATCCTACGACTCAATCCAAAAGCAGCACAAGCATGCAGGAATTACTCAGGTACCTGATTATCTGTACTCCCCAAGGAGCACATACGTAACAACAGAAAAGGAGTGAGAATTACATTCAATAATTTAAACGGTGAGAAATCGTATACTAAGGAGTAGTAAACGAATACACATACAATCACATGGTTACAATACACATCCAATTATCACATATACAAACCAGCACTATCATTACACATAACTCATCACAATATAAAATATGAAGTCGTGGACTCTACACCATGCATGCGGTACCAACATAACTAATACAACTCATTCATATGAACCCAATTCGCACCGGAATCCGGATAAGCCAATTATGTTTCCCTTGAACTTGACCTATCTCCACTCGACTCTCTTCAAGAATCCGGACGAGACTAGGCACCCAACAAAGATTCCCACCTAGGCACATCTCACCACAACATGACACAATGAATGCATTACACACACATGTATATATATAATATGCACAAAACCCACAAATATTATTTCATAACATACGATCCTCACGATCACCCGTGAGTCACATAGTCACCATGATTCCTTCTGAATCAACGATATTCCTCATGAATGTCCATACAATCACAAGACAATACAAAGGCATCAAAAGAATTCACAACGAAGAATACTTCACCATTATCATCAAAACATCATTGAAAGCATACATGATTATCACAATGATACTATATCATCATAAAGAAAATGCCCATCAAGTTGTATTAAGACATGGTTACGTAAATTCATAGCAAAGAGCATACTTCCTATGTTAACACTACATAGTTCATCACTTAATCCTAATGCAATCATTATAAAACTAAATCCTATGAATCATTTTATTCTTCCAAGGTAGTTCACTTCATTAGCTTTCCAACGCTTCAAACGGTGCATCAAACGAAGTCCAGAAACTCAAGTTATGGCCTTTAGAAAAATCTTTCAAAAATTGGATGTCACTCGGGACTGTTCAGGTCGACCCCCCCCCCCTATGCTCAGGTCGACGCATCAATAAAATTTGAGGAATTATGTCTGCCTCGGGTGTGCTCAGGTCGACCCCCCTTTGTGCTTAGGTCGACTATTGTTATTTTATGCTGTATTTTTCTTCTATATTATATTTCTCATGCCTGCGAATTTCTACACTAACACTGACCCTATTCCACTCGAATTGAACACAATATGGCCTCAAAATTCTAATTTTAAGCATTTTAACACATGCCTTTACTATTGCTACTAATAATACATTCTATTACCAATTTCATTATCAATTCTAAGGATTACAACCCAATACCTAAAGGAAACCTATGTTCTTTAATCTATTCTTTTTAAGGTTTTTTCCCATAGCAATCCACAATGATCAAGAATCCCATATCATAATTATCATAATTTTGCCAACACAATTCAATGCAAATGAAATCACAACATTCATCTCCACAATCAAACTAAACACACGAGGAATACAAAATTAAGAAAACCTAAGAGGGAAAGAAACCCTAACTACCCTTTCATGCTATAATCACCAAATTAGAGAATCCATTCTCCCCATTACCTTGATTTTCCAAAGCTTGCCTCTAACAATGGTAGAACCTTTCCATAACCTAACCTTTCCTTGCTTCTTCCCATCCTTTGTTTCTCCAAAATTTCACGATTGTTAGAATGATCCCAATTCTCTTCCCGTCTTTGTTTTTATCATTGGACCATATTAGGATTTCCCCTTATACCCCTACTTAGCCCACTTACACTTACTATAACACCCTTACTCTAATTCTTATTAATAATTTTATTTAACAATAATATAATTGTTATCCTAACAATAACAATAAATAAAATAATATTCTTCATACACCCATGTTTCTACAGTTTTACTCACATCCCCCTTCATTACTACACATCCCTCTAATTTAAGGGAATTATCCTTCCCAAGGCCTCCAAACCCCTAACTCACTAATAAGGCATTACAAGCATAATTAAACACACAAATAAATTATTAAAAATAAATCAAAAAATTTATTTTTGGGCGATACAACAACAACTATGACTAATAATGAATCCTAAGACAAGGAGAGCAACATGCCAGAGACACATGCTGCCATGGATGACTTATGCTGCCAGAATTAGAGTTTTGGGGATAACATTCTCCATATCTATTATCTAACAATGCCAGTGAGAGGTTGACCCCAAAAGAGGATGAAATATTGGACCCATAATCTCTCTCAAATGAAATATGGGAGGTGCTAGAGCCATAGAATTTCAAATTGCCTTTGTTGGCTAAGCTTGATACGCACAAAGACTCGTATGAACATGTCGCCTCCATCAACACATAAATGGAAATAATTAGAGCTCCTGATTCTTGGAAATGCAAGCTCTTCTCTGGCACCTTCAGAGATGCATCCTAAGGTGGTATATGGGGCTGCCTCGGCTCTCCACCACCAGCTATCATGACTTCGTGAATAAGCTAGTCCACCATTTTACATCAAGCATGCATAGAAAGATGGTCGCCACCAACATTTTCAAAATTCATCAAGGCCCCTCGAAATACATGAGGTATTACCTCACCCGCTTTAACAAGGTGACAATCAAGGTCGTCCACTCCCAACCAGAAAATGATCGTAGAAGCATTTCAAAATAGGCTCATGGCGGGAAATTTTAATGAATCCCTCGACTAAAGGCACTCGACTTCCTTGGATGAGGTGGTGAAATGTGTGAAATGTTATATAAATGGTGAGGAGATCAATGCTAAAAAGAAGGCCATATATGCAAAAGTGTATATCTCTGGTAATCCCGATGTCTCACAACATTCACGAAAGAATTACACCTTACCATTAGAGATATAATGGATTTCGAGCAAAGCAGAAAACCCAGGAAGAGTTTCACACCTCGAAACACTGGAAATGGGGAGATATGGCGAGAAGTCCTCCACATGCCAAACATTCCATAATCTCCAACTCCAAAGTCCGATGCCATAGGGCCCGATCCTAGTAGATGATGCAAGTTTCATAAAGTTAAGAGACACCACACTGAGGACTGTTATCAACTCATGAATGATATAGAGCATCTAATCAAATAAGGTCACCTGAAGAAATATGTCAAGGGGACTCCTCACAAAAGGCCAGGTGGATCCCTCTTTAGGGGGCGAAATTCTTTTGAGCTCGGGTAAAATAAATCTAAGAACCCAGTGAGAAAGTGAGGATACGGTAGTACACCACACTCTCAATATCATCACAAAAGGACTCGTCAGAAGTGGAGAGACCAATTCCACTCACATAAGACATGTTCTCCAAATCTTGTCCATCGAAGGCTCACCTACCAACTCTAATTTGGGTGAGACAAGAGCCCTGTAATCAGAGATCACGTTTTTCAAGAAGGAAGCTAGATGTCTACATCCATCCACTCGATGACAAGAATAGATCATAACCATAAGGTGTGACAATTGAAAGATTAAGAAAGTACTAGTTGATCAAGAAAGCTCTGTTGACATCCTCAAAACGCGTTTGAGAGATTTCACCTAGATTTGAACGACGATCTCAAAGTTTTCTTAAGATCATTGGTGGGAGCAAGTGTAGGTGAAGGGTTAAATTAAATCAAAATGTGTGAATGAAAAAAATTACTTAAAAAAAAAAGAAGAAGATATTTTAGACTTTTAAGATAGTTTTGTGGGGGTGGGAGTAGTATGCTTGTTGCAACTTTGCAAGAATAAGCTAAAAGTGGGCTTCGTAAAAGTGGCCCATTTGTATTTATGTTCCATGTGTTTCTCTCAGTAAATTTGTGAAATGTGATAATCTGAAACCCTAATTCTTCAATGGAGCCTTTACAACCACCCTCATCTTCTTCTGTAACTTCTTCATCGAATTCAAATGCAGTATTCCGGTGAACGAAACTGGCTTGATCTTCCACGAGATGTGGTACTGTCAATTTTCGTGAAACTTGACACAATCGATCTTCTTGTTCGCGCTCACAATGTTTGTACCACTTGGCGCAGTATCTCGAAGGACCGTATCCTCTATCGCACCATCGACATGTCTAATTTGGACGAAATTGCACCTAGTTGCCATATCTCTGAATTAGAGATTTTATGTCGCCGCGCCATTGATTACAGCTGCGGCCATGTAATTGATATCAACATCGAGTATTTTGGCACTCGTTATCTTCTTTCTCACATTGCTAATTCGTATGTTATACTCTCTTCTACATTTTAGCTTTTTAATTCATATACTCCGAACTTCAACTGTGTCTAGGGTTCCTTGTAGATATTGCGCCACAATCTTGCATGTATTTATTATTGGATCAAAACTACAGTTTCCAATGGGAGGATTATTATTATCTATTTGACATACTTGTTTTTTAACACTTAATTATTGTACAAACCATCAATTTACTCCTTATATATCACTCTCTAATTCAGTTCTAAATATATAAATATAATGACTAGTCCTTGAAAATCTGCCATGTTTGAATGGATTTTGAGTAGACCCTACTCTCAAATTAGCATCCAAGATTTTGACTAGAAATGTACCGTTTATAGCATGGTTGGATTGACTTTTGGAAGAACCGGAAACAATTCGAGAGATGTAGAATTGATTCTGGATGATTTTGAGGTGTTTGCTGTATCACGAGTAGAATTGATTCTGGATGATTTTGAGGTGTTTGCTTTATCACGAGTATAATTGATTCTGTCTCTAGAATTGATTCAACTTGAAGCTATAGTTTCTACTTCGAGAGTTGATTCAACGATTTTTATGCTGAAATTTATTGTTCAACTCTCTTTTACCAAACTTAATTATTTTAAAATCAATTATACCAAAGTCAATTCTGCAAGAATCAATTATGTTCGCCCCAATCCAAACACACTCTTAATTGGAGTTGATGACAAGGCACAAAGGAAATATCAGATGTAGTCAACTGCTTTCATAGGGGTTGTTTGCAGTTAGACAAAGAAAGTTCATTTATCTCTATCCTCTACCAGTGATAATGATATTAGTAAGCGAGGCTTTGTTTAAAGGATAACTGTTAATTGTCTTTCTTTCTTTTTTTTTCTTCGATTTCAGATATTGTTTGTCATATAGCAATGGTTTTTATGTTTGTGATGTAGTTTTTCTGCAAAAGTTAAAACTTACCTGTGTTTGTAGTACAAATTAGCTTTTGGTGCTTCTGTTTATATTATAAAAATGTTCCCATGTGATTCCAATAATACTTAATTTGAGAGTCTTAGATGTTTATTTAAAGTCACCACATATATTTTTGGTTGCATCCGTGTAACATTGTGTAACATTATTTCCTCTTGTTGTCTTGGTATTTTACAGCGCAAGTCGTCTACGATGCTTCGTCTTGCATGTTGCTCTAGGTTAATGGATGGAGTATTCAGTGTAGTTGCTGAAAAGCTTTCTCACTTGGAGGAACTTGATATATCAATTAGCTGCTTATCTCGTGCTTCATTTGAAGTCATTGGCCGATGTTTCCCTCGATTGAAAACCTTTTATATTCAACACTCATATAGATCAACATATTGTGAATGACAAAGACGCATTTGCTATTGCGAAATTCATGCCTGGGTTATGCCATCTCCAACTTATTGGAAACAAGATGACTAATAATGGTTTGCTTGCTATTCTTGATGGTTGTCCTCAACTGGAATCTCTTGACATCCGTCAGTGTTTCAATATTAATTTTAGAGGAAGTTTGGTAAAGAGATGTAAAGAACAGATCAAGTATTTACGGCATACAAAGATTATGCCTCTGGGATCTCAACCATATATTTAGATTTATTGTCTGACAATGATTATGATTTTTCAGGTGGTGGGGAATTTTCTGAATTTGCTTATGATGCTAACTATTATGACATACTTTGAATTTCTAAGTCATCACTCTCTGTTGTTTCTATGTAACATTGGGTTTGTTAGGTGGTTGGCAGCATCAGAGTCTTTTACATGGGCAGATAGTTGGTTATATCATTTGGAACCTTTGTGAAGCAAGTTTCATTGTTTACAACTTGTGTCTATGTTAAATGTAATGGATATTTTATTTGGCTTTATGTTTAGAAATATGACAATTGGCTCTAAACTTCTAACTTTTCGGAATTGAAGTTGGCAGTTAGTTAGAGATTTGTATTTTGAAATTTGTATTTAGTTGGCTTGGAACTCAATGTTTATATATCTAATTACTTGCGGGTGTTTTTATTTTTCTTCTTCTTTCGCACCGGTTTCCAACCTATATAGTAGATCGACTAATTCGACTTGTGCTATGGAGGTCGTTGCATTGGCCAAACATTTTTGCCAAGAATCAAATTTGGTATTTTTCAAATATCATCATTCGGTATTTTTCAAATATCGTCATTTGCATAGACTCTTGAGTTATAACAACTCTTTTATTTAAATAATTTAATTCAAAATTGAGACGGCTAAAATGAAATTGTGGCAAAAACTTTATTTAAAGCCATGAAAGTTCTTTGATAACAATAATGTATTTTTAGAGAAATTGCTCTTTCCATTCTTCGAGGTTAGCCCCCACCACTACGAAAAAACTAAAATGTTCGGATATATATTTTCGGACGCATTTTTTACACATAAGTGAGACGAATATATATTTTCGGACGCATTTTTCACACATAAGTGAGGCGAAAATAGTGAGAAACTCATTTAATTATAAAAATGTATTGGTGGTTCATAGATGCATTTGAATGTTTTCTTTTATTAACTCCCACTAGAATCTTTCTCCGTCTCCATTCTTCATTTTTTCAAAAATTCTCACAAAAAACACTTGACCTCTCACAACCATTAAATAATCCCATTCTTTCATTGAAGCATTAATGTAACAAATTCTCCTCATTTTCATGATCTCATAACATCGAAACAACATCTTTTCATCAATCAATTCTATTTTGATAAATTTTTTAATTTTATTTTATTTTTGTGTTTTGATTTTTAAGTTAGTTTTTTAGGATACATTAAATGTTTTAGGCACTTTAGATAGTAGTGCAAACAAAGTTGTTTGTTTAGAACAACATGCAATGAAGTTTTTAGGATTTGTTAGGACACAAAATGAGTATGTTATGGTAGAGCAAATCCCAGGCTTGTCCGGAAATGTGTCTCCGAATTTGCCCAGAACTATTTTCAAAGACGAATCTACGAATTGGGTGTAGTAAAGAAATTGTGACATTTTACTGAATTGTTGGATTTGTCCTAACATGGTGTTTATATCTTTCTCTTTTTATAATACACATGCAATGACTGACAACAACAAAGGTCGAATTAGGGTCGAACATGTGTCCAAAACTGCGACGATATAACGAGAAAGGGTCGCCGTCACTGCGAGGACAAAGGAGCCACGAGTTACTGATGACTTGTTTGATGTTGCATCTACTTTGTAGCCTCGACCATCTAGTTCTTGTTGCCGACTCTCTCAAGCATCTTAGATATATGATGCAACATAATTTGAGGTTTCTGAGGGCCCTGTTGATCCTAAAGCCCCTGAAGGCTAGGAGGAAGTCGATCTGGATACCCCATTAGAGAGTTATCCAAAAGCCCATATGACACCTCCTTACGCTATAATTATACAAATCATGTTGCTAGGCATGTAGAGGTATATTTCTTTTCTTTTGTAATACATATGTTGACAACTAATTAAATTTATACTGGTTATGTTTTCTTTTTTCAGGAGCGTGATTGTTTGAAAATGATTAACAACGACAGGAAGATACAATTGTTGGAGAATCTCACTGTTCGTTGGTTCGGTGATGTTATCTATTATTTCGCTCTTGTTTTAGTTTATTTTCTTCTACGTACATAACCATAAATCATGGCATGCATACGACTTTTGCAGAGAGGTGACACTCAGAGATGTCATCTTTCCACCTACCAATAGGCGAGACGACCACTACTTTGGATGACGTCTCATGCGTCATACATCTTCTCATCAGTGGGAGATTACTCGACCACGAGAGGATCGAGCGAGAAGAAAGGGTCGATCTGATGGTCACCCTATTGGGGGGTTGACCCTGGTGAGGCGGTGGAAGAGGCAGCTCACACGATTTATCTTTTTGGAAAAACTTTATAATGATCATATGGAGGAGGCTACAGATGTCGATGGTGATGATCTGTATGTTGAGTACCACTGACATTGCACATTGAGGTGTTACCTCTTGTTCTTAGTTGGCACATCCATGCGGTATGTCAGTGTGTTGCATAGATGGATATATGAGCCATAAAGACACGACTATTAGAGGATGGTTCTCTTTAGTTGGTCGTCGTGGAGACCATGGTTGCCGAGTTATGTAATATTGTGCAACCTAGGAGGCAAAGGAGACAGGCGGTTAGACATATCCAATAGTTGGGATGTATAACTTTTTTTGGATATTTTTAAATGTATTTTCGGACAAATGTTATGTACATATTATCTTGATTTTTTTTATTATTGTATGAATCTATACCCTCAATTAACTTTAATTTTACGTTAATATAACTTAATGTAAGTTGGACTCCCAAAAATAAAATATTTGTACAATTGTGTTGTTTTGATGTGAATCAGGGAGGATTTCCGAATGCATTTCCGAAATAGTTCCCATTTGTATATACCACTTTTTCAAATATTCAGGGGGCATTTCGGAGATGCATTTCCGAACACACCCAAATACCATACGAAGATGCATCTCAAGACCATTTGTTGTTAAATAATGAGGTGAATTTCAGAAAAGCACATTTTTGTTATGATTTGGATGCGTCTGGAGATACATCTCGAAAACCTAAAGAACAAAGTCGAATTTTTAAGAGTGCAATATGCTCATATAAAGGTGGAAACTACATTCCCCTAATTTTAGGAGTGTTCATTATGCGACTTGGTTTGCTAACCCATTGACCCGAAGCAACATTGTAATTAGGGATGTCAACGAATCTGGGAATATTCAGAGGATGTTTCCTCGCTTCCCGCCCGCCCCCAATTTATTCCCCACCCCTAATCTCTGCCACAGAGGAATATTTTCCTCCATCCCCATCCCCAGTCTCCGCCACAGAGGAATATTTTCCTCCATCCCCATCCCCATCTCCAAAGATCCTCATGGAGATCCACGATGATTGAATCTTAAGAAAACTTTTATACTTTTCGATCAAAACTATCACACTAGTATTTTGTTATTTTTTCTTTTTTTTTAAACACATATTTTGCATCTTTCATTTTTTAAAAATAAAAATACATCTTGCATCAATAACAAAAAAAGAAAAAACACGTGTTGTTGCTAATATTTTTTCTGTAAAAAAAATAAATTATTAGCATAACTTGTTGCTACCATGCTTCTGCTAATTTACAATCACAGTGCGGATGTCGTCCAGCACGAGTGGTTGATTATGTGTGGGTGTGGAAAATCCATAACTGCTAATTTATTAATTGAATGAAAAACATGTGCTAATGGAAATAAAGTGAATTTGAAGAGTAATTACCATAAACACAATGAACAAAGAAGAGTGGTTGTTGTGACGATGATGAGATTAGAGGAGATGATGAATGGATGGAACAAAGATAATTGCTAAAAGAAAAGGAGGAGACACTGTGTACATCTTATATATTGAGTGCACTTTTTTAGGGTTGGGTACTTAGGTAGTGAAACAATATTATACAATACAATAAGACATAAAAATAAAATGATCCACTAATGACTCTTCATTTTCTAATACATTAATATTTTTTTATATAAAATTATATAATATATAAAATATAAAATTTAAATAATAAGGTTGGAGTCGGAGAATCCACGGGACGGAGGGTACATTCCCAATCCTTACCCGGATGAAAAATTCTCCAACTTCAATGCTCTAAATAAATAATCCCCGCAAAATCAAAAAGATATATAAGACTTTTAAGATAGTTTGGTGGAGGTGGGAGTAGAATGCTTGTTGCAACTTGCATGAATAAGCTCAAAGTGGGCTTCGTAAAAATGGCCCATTTGTATTTATGTCCCATCTCTTTCTCTCAGTAAATGTGTGAAATGTGATCATCACCACCACAATCTGAAACCCTAATTCTTCAATGGAGTCTTTACAACCAACACCATCTTCATCGAATTTAAATGCAGTAATCGATTCCGGAGTAAGAAACTGGCTCGATCTTCCACGAGATGCGGTATTGTCCATTTTCGTGAAGCTTGACACAATCGATCTTCTTGTTCGCGCTCACAATGTTTGCACCACTTGGCGCAATATCTCAAAGGATCCTTTCCTCTATCGCACCATCAACATGCCTAATTTGGGCGAACCAGAAAACAACTCTGATTTAGAGATTTTATGTCACCGCGCCATTGATTACAGCTGCGGCGATTCCATTGATATCAACATCGAGTATTTTGGCACTGATGATCTTCTTTCTCACATTGCTAATTCGTATGTTCCACTCTCTTATACATTTTCGTTTTTTAATTCATAACAGTATACTTCAATTATTTCATGAATAGGTTCTGTTCGCCGTAAGTAAAAATGGATCTGTGTTTGTAATTCAAATTAGTTTCTGGTGCTTCAGTTTATATTATAAAAATGTTCTCATATGATTCTAATATACTTAGTTTCACAATCTTAGATATTTATTTATAGTCACCACAAATATTTTTGGTTGCATCTGTGTAACCGTCTTTCCTCTTGTTGTCTTGGTATTTTACAGTGCAAGTCATCTACGATGCCTTCGTCTTGCACGTTGCTATAGTGTAACAGATGAAGGATTATGTGAAGTGGTTGGAAAGCATGCTCACTTGGAGGAACTTGAAATATCAATTAGTGGCGGCTATTCTCTTGATTCTTTGGAAGTCATTGGCGGGTGTTGCCCTCGATTGAAAACGTTTAAATTCAACCATGAAGTATATTTACTTCCACATATTGTGGATGACGACGAAGCATTTGCTATTGCGAAGTTCATGCATGGGTTATGTCATCTCCAGCTTATTGGAAACAAAATGACTAATGATGGGTTGCTTGCTATTCTTGATGGTTGTCCTCAACTTGAATCTCTTGACATCCGTCAGTGTTTCAATATTAATTTGGAAGGAAGTTTGGCAAAGAGATGTAAAGAACAGATCAAGTATTTACGCCTTCCAAATGATTCAACTGATGACTATCCATTTCAAACTGAAGACTATCCTGAAGGAGGCTATCATCCATATGGGATCTCAGATATAGATTTGGATTTATTGTCTGATGATGATTATCAATTCTCAGATGGGAGTGAATTTTCTGAAGAATTTAATGTTAACTATTACTACGACTTTTGACAAATTCCAAACGTTTCAGCAAGTAAAAAAAAGTGCTGTGTGCTTCTTAGTTCTTGCGTGCAAGTTTTTCACATGGGCAAGTAAAAAAAAGTGCTGTGCGCTTCTTAGTTCTTGGCTCTAAACTTCTAACTCTCATGGAAGTGAAGTTGGCATTTTGATGAACTCGGGAAACAGCTAGTTGTTTAGTATTACCATCAAGGCAACTTTCCTCGTTGTTCAGTTATTTATGATCGCAGTACAATACAGAAATTTGTTGTCTTTGAACTCAAAGTTTATGTATCTAATTGCTTGTGTTGTTTTAAGTTGTAGTATGTAACTGGGTTTATTATTTATATAAATCAAAATTGAGATGGGTAAATAAACGAAATTGAGTTAAAATGCTATGCAAGAGCTTTATTTAAAGCCATGAAAGTTCAAATATCTTAGTTTAAGTGGATTTGCATATATGTTGATCGAATCATCTGAAACAATTCATTTATATATTTGATTCAACCTTCAGAAATTTGGTTAGCAGACCCGAACCAGTCTATTAATTATGGACATTACTTGTCCCACTCTTAAGGGTACTCTCGTGTCTTTGTGAAAAACCCAATATGCCTCTTAAGTATGGAAATAAGTTGCCGCCTCCTGCAAAGCTTTTGGGTTAAATAACTCGATCATTCCTATGGATCTCAGTCACTGTCCCTTGTGGAGTTCAAATGAGTTCTGATTGTCGTCCCTTATGGAGGTCTTAGTTATATAACTTGAAGCATCCAATGGATTATGGTCGCCACTTTCGATCATTCCTATGGATCTCAGTCACTGTCCCTTGTGGAGTTCAAATGAGTTATGATTGTCGTCCCTTATGGAGGTCTTAGTTATATAACTTGGAGCATCCAATGGATTATGGTCGCCACTTTCGATCATTCCTATGGATCTCAGTCACTGTCCCTTGTGGAGTTCAAATGAGTTATGATTGTCGTCTCTTATGGAGGTCTTAGTTATATAACTTGGAGCATCCAATGGATTATGGTCGCCACTTTCTGTAGACGTCTTGGGTTAAATAATTTGGAGAGTCTAGTGGATTCTGGCTTATGCTTTGCTAATACTTGAAAAATAGTAATTTTTTGAAACGCCAAGGGTGCCTTAGTAAAAATCCTTGCTCTTGCAGGAGAAAAGAGTGCTATCCTAGGTCACTGTTTATTAAAGATTCTCAAAGTACAATTTACAATTTATTTCTGACAACAAATCTCTCTAACTAAAATAATATTGTTTTGGACTGGGCCGACACTCGCTCCACCGTTGGGGAGGTCCAATCCAGCGCCTTTACCAAGGCCTAAAAGCATGCAGCCCAAACTGAAGACAGTTGGGCATTTCCTCACGTGTCCAGTAGGAGAACATAATTCACGTGTCCATATCATCATCATCCTGCCCTCCGAGAATATCAGATCCAACTTCCCTACTTTCTCGTGGCAGTTGACCAGGGTGGAGGCCACGTGCTGGACTCCATACACTCGTAAACCTTGACAGTCTTCTTTATTGGGCCTCATCTTGGCCCATCACTGAAGACCTTGGCCCAACACTGAGGGCTATAAATACCCTCTCACTTGAAAGGGTCAGATATTCATTCAGTCACCCACACTGTCATACTTGCTTGCATTTGCTCTGAACCTTACTTTGGCATCAGAGTGTCTTGCAGACATCACCCACTTCACATTCAATTGCCGCTCGAGTTGAAGCTTGTGGGCTTTAACAATTCCTTCTGATCAAGTGTGATTAGTGACGCCGTTTGTGGGAATCTAGCTTCTCCGTCTTCCTCTCAAGACCAAAACAACTCTTCATCAAACCGTATGATTGTCATGGTCGACCAAGCTGTCGATGATAACCAAAATGCCCATATCGCCGACCCCAACAACAACGCGAACGACAACAACACAGACAACAACACCAACAATAACGACGACATGGTCGATCCCGAGCAAGACTACAAAGACAGACTGACCGCCTCTTCGTCCACCCACTTGCAACCACGCGATGACGACTATCATCCTCCACAAAATTATGAACCCAATGCATATCAGGAGATCCCCGTCCTCACAGGTGTTGACGCCACGACCAGAGCTCTGTTCGCGGCAATCAACCAAACCAACTACATGATCTTCTCACAGGGTGAGCGGCAGATGATGCTCGAACAGACTTTTCAGGCACCCAGAAGACACAGGAGACCTGTCACGCCTCCTCCTCCCCGACAGAACGAGGACCTTCTCCGATCTCCCCCGTGGAGACACAAACAGGATGACTATCAAAGCCTTTCTCCCTGAAGAACTGGGCGAGGCCCTACGTTGGAGAGGAGTCATCCCGAAGCCGTGAGGAAGCGCGATCACACCCCTCCCCCGCGCAGGGAGTAATGATCCCCTGAACATAAAAAAACAGAGGAAATGAAGAAAAACAGTCTCAACCAAGGGATCCTCTCCGTGGACAAGGCGGTCACAACGACCGTCGCTACAACCAGTCCACATCTCGCTCTCCAGACAGAAGAGACAAAGACGACCCCCGTGGTCCACTATCCCAAGCCATCATGAAGGCTTCCATTCCTAAGAGAATGGAGAAACCTCCCCTACTGAAGGAGTACAACGGTATTGCTGATCATGTCGACCACATCAACGGATTTGAAGCAATGCTCTACTACCACAACGTCGAGGCCCCAATTAAATGCATGTTGTTCCCCACGACACTGAGAAAAACAACCATGGATTGGTACAAGAACCTCTCCCCCGGGTCGATCACCTCATGGAGGAGCCTCAAAAACCAATTCATCAGCAGCTTCACCGCGTCTCGTCAATATCCGAAGACTGAGGCCGCCCTCGAGGAAATCGTCCAGAGAAGCAACGAGACCCTCAAGGAATATATTGATCGGTTCAACCACAAGGTCATTTAGGTCCCGTGCGCTGATCACATGAAAATATACCTTCTCGAGAGGGGGCTCCTCTCGGGAACTGAATTTAGAAAGTCCGTCGACATTGAGCCCCCCAGGTCTTTCAACGCTCTCCTAGAAAAGGCTCGGGAATACACGGACTACGAGGAGAAAGAAACGAACAATATAGCTCGTGCTTCGAGGAACCACAAACAAACTAACATCCCGTGACACCAGGACGCGGGCCCTTCTCGATGGACTGGGGATAAGAGAAAGGAGGAGAAACCGTGCGATCCCCGCGAGCATAGAGGACTAGCAGGATGGTTCACATAGTATACCTTACTGACCGCTTCATGCGAGAGTATCCTTACGGAGTGCTTTAATGTCGAGTTCAAGGACGACGTCGTCAGACGTCCTCTACCCACCCCTGCAAAGCCTGGGGAAGAAAAAACAAAATATTGTTAATAACATCGGAGCCACGGGCACTTGACGGAAGACTACGTCTACCTCAAGGACTCCATCGAGACTCTCATCAAGTGTGGGAGACTCAGGAAGTATAGAAGAAACGACGCCCCTCGCCGGGATACCCGCGAGGTAAAAGAAATCGAGGAAGAAACCTGACCATCCAATGAATCGGGTCCCGTTTAGGTGGCTTTCTCCGTCACGAGGCCCGAGGACTTCCGCATCTCCGACAGCTACGAAGATGAATAACCTTTGTCCATCCACAACAAATGGGAGAAATTCCCCTCCGCCATGGTCATATCTGGCGGGGGATTCAACGACATCTCAGTAAACTCGACGAAGAGGAAACTCGACGAGTTGGTGGACGTGGCCCCAACCCAGGCAGTAACCCTTGAAAGGTTCAAGGGAAAATATAAGTTAATCACTTTCTACCTGAAGGAGCTGCCCAACGGAGCCCCAAACTCAATCATTCATCTGCTGGTGAGAGCAAGGATGGCCAACTTCGACGTACATCGCATTTTGGTCGATGAGGGGAGTTCCATCGACGTCATGTACAATCACTTATTCTGTACCCTGTATCTCCGATGATACCCACCTTTCACCATACGTGGGGTCTAACCTACAAGGATTCAATGGTTTGACCTCCAAGCCTTGAGGCTATATTGAGCTCTTTGTCACCTCGGGGAAGAAACTACATCCCGACAGGTCAAGGTGCGGTTTCTAGTGATCGATTGCCCGTCTCTCTACAACTGCATCCTGGGGAGACCAACATTAGCCGAGCTGACTGCCGTACCCTCCATGGTCCATTTGAAAATGAAGTTCTACACCAAGAGGGCCCGCGTCGCCATCATCCATGGGGATATCTTAGCTGCTAGGAGATGTTTCCACACAGCTTCTAAAGGGCAAAGCGTGGTTGATGCTGAAGCGCGACCATCCAAAAGAGAAACCACTTCTCAACTTGAATCGAAGCCTGCTCGGATAAAAGAACAACGGGCTCCACCAAAGGTCAACTCCATTTTGCTCGACACCCGCTTTGACAAAGATGAAGTCGAAACCCCCAATGGCAAACAAGATCTTCTCAGACCCATCACAGACGGAGACTTCGAGTTCATCCCCCTCGGCGACGAACCTCACAAAGGCATGAAGATCGATACTAGACTTCCTGACCTGGATAGGAAGCAACTCAAAGCCTGCTTAAGGGAGAATGTTGACTTGTTCGTGTGAAGTGCTGTAGAGATGCCAGGACTCGACCCTGAGGTCGCCTATCACCAACTCGCTGTGGATCCAACCGCTAGGGCTGTAGTGCAACATAGGCATAGGTAGTCTCCCGAAAAAGCGGAGGCTGCTGAAAAAGCTGTAAAAGACCTCCTAGAGGCAAATTTTATTTCTGAGGCCCGGTATTCAACCTGGCTCTAAAAACATGGTACTTGTCAAGAAAAATAATGGAAAATGGAAAATGTGTGTTGATTATACCGATCTTAATTGGGCATGTCTCGAAGATGCTTTCCTTTACCTAACATCGACATGTTGGTCGACAACTCGAACGACTACAGAATTTTATCATTTATGGACGCCTACTCGGGCTATAACCAAATTCCAATGGCGATGAATGATAAACATTGCACTGCCTTTATGACCGGGTCGG